CCGCAGTATCATAGTTTAACTATGGAAGTGATAGGAGTTAGTAGAAAGATCCAAACGTATTTTGTATTTGTACAAAAAAACGTTTTACTGGCTAAAATTCTGCTGCTGCTGCCGCCGCTGCTGCTGCTGCTGCTGCGGCTACTGTCACTGCACAATCGTAATTCTGTTGACCAACAATTGGATTTATGTCATCTTAATTTGGTTTCTTTGTTCTTTCATGTACGAGGTCGATTAAAATTCACTAAATGTCAGTATCATCCCACAACATACATCTTCTGAACATCTTATTTGGAATTACAAAGGGAAATTCCTGTTTCACATGTATATCGCTTGGCATTTTAACTGGCTGTATGGTTCACACATTTGCAAGAAATTACCTTTCAGTTTTGTATTGTGATATGCTAATTTGCGATCAACGTGTAGGATTCAACACGGTCCTCTGAACCCACCAAGTTACCTCTACGTATTCTGGTAAGATTGCCTGCATCTAAATTTGGCATTGTTTGTTACCTTGCATTGTGGTGTCTCTATCATCTCCAGGTCCCGTTTCAACCAAATCCCTTATGTTTGTACTTATCTGAGAAGATAAATGTGTGAAAACTTGTGAATGTTTTTGCAACAAGCGGATATGCTGGTTGCTTCATTCTGTCGCTACTTCAGACTATTTTGAACAGTTGAACTCATTGCAAATGAGCAAAACAAATTCGCATTGCTGGGAACAGATCTGAAATATTTTTACCACAAGCAAATAGGTGTAGTCTTGAATATTGCGCTGTTGATGTACGTGTATGGAAGGGCCTTATAAATTGACCAGATAGAAATCGTCTTATGGTAGCGCTGGAGCTCTTCCTGGTTGCTTATTTCCCTGATCGCTCGTCACAGTTTATATCAAAGGTGAAGCATAGAAATTCGGGAGCAATGGGGCTTGACAACGAACTTTGTGTTGTACACCATTTTAACTCAATCGCATTAGACAGAAATACACCAACTTATCTTTAACCGATATTTGTTTAAAAATTGCTCTTGCAAAGCAGGATTCATTGTCAATGACGTACATTTTGTGTTTATGACAAAGATTTAAGTGTTATAAGCGATCGAAAACGCTTTTGAAAAGTCGGAGTAGACGACGTCGACTCCTGCATCACCCTCAACTACTTTAGTCCAGCGACTGCACGAAATTAACAGGTTAATAGTACGTGAACCACGTTTACGGAATTCCTGTTGCACCGGAGCTATTATACTTTGGTTTTTCAGCTAGTGCATCAGCGCATTTGCGAAATTTGATTCCGTTACTCTAGGAAACACATGACTGTAATAGGTAGGGTCAGTGCGATTCCCTTTTTTATTAATGACAGTTGTAACTCTCGCTTGTAAATTGGTGGCTTTTAGTTCTCTTCTAGAGCATTCGGCTGAAGGTTATCGACGCCAGGATAATTGTGTGTACGCAGAAATAACAGCATCTTGAGCCAAACATCTGCAGTACATGTTATCGGATATACGTAACGGTGGTTCAGTAGAAACAGGGACAGGCATTAAGATCGTTGCTTTATGGTAGGTAACAGATTAATGGGACTATAAACTCTCGGCTGCTTCCGTTTCCGTTTGTTTGAATCCTGATTGATACGAAATATTGACAAGATCCAACAGATGGGTAAAAATGTCTAGCGCTTATCTGAGTACGTGCAGGATTGTCTTACTTAGACGTTTTCTAAAGGAATGACCAACAATTGTCATCGAAAAAACCAACTCATGATTACATCAAAGTATAATTGAATTTACTAGTGTAACAATATGTATTTAAACATGTTGTGCCCTACAGATACCCTGGTTACTGTTGTATAGCTAATGTTTATCAAGCTGTAGCAGGTAATTGGCTTTAATTAAGGTGGAAGTCTATGAAAGAGTAAGCAGGAAAAGCACTCTGCGGCCATTTCATCCTGTCGGGAATCGTCATGATTGCCCTTAATCAGATCTAGAAAATTATTCACGGCGATCGATGCCGTCCCCTGTAGCTTAGTGAAGTTAACCACAGTTGCGCAATAGTTGATTTTCGGGTTTGAGCTGCACAAAGCCCAGTTGGAATGCGTGCTGCCAACGTTGCCCGGAATTGCAGCAGATCACATAATAAGACGGTTTCGCAACCGTTTGTTTATCCATCTGATGCGCGTACTACTATTCGATTGCACCTTACTAAACATCTGCATTTAATTTTTAAACTATTTTTCCACGAACCGTTTCCACTACCACAGTATTTTACTTATCAAATGCAAAAAAGGGGAAACCGAATAGCTTAGTAAAAATCAGCGATCTGTAGGAAATTGAATGTGAAGCAGCTTAGTGATACTGTGATTAAGAGAACGACCTTATCTTGCTTACTTCTGATGGCTAGATTCTGTTATACTAGACACTATTAATTGTTTCTAGAAAGGCAGCATGGCTAATTGTTGTTCAGTAGTATTTTTACTACGGGTGTTATAGGATGTGTTAACGCAGTCAATCGCTGAAGGAGTTAAGCGAACGAATTACATAAATTTTTACCTTCAGTCATGGGCGTATTGAATATTTTGATACTGTCTTCTTCTTGCTCTAATTGTCCTCAGTATGAAGCGGACGCAACTTCACGTAGTCAACCCAGTTCTCCAATAAAAAATTTTGACACATTGTGTTCTATCAAACATAGAGATTATTATCTAAGAAAGAGAACCCTGTAGACGCAAGGAAATGCCTGCTTAATTACTGGCTTATATGGAAGTTTATATGCAACTTGCATAAACCTCTTCGAAACGATCTAGAAGTGATGGTCTCAGAATGAATTGAAAAGAAAATGCCAGCTCATGTACGCAACACCGATTTTTCCAGCACCGCTGGAATTCAGTCGATCGATCATTGCTGTCCTCTAGTAGCTGGCCCAAAGTAACACAAAGCGATCGCCAAACCATTGCCCGCTCCTGCACATTGCAAACTTTGGTATCGTCTATTGTACCACACAAGCGCTTTGAACCGGGCTTCAAAAATGCGTTAGACCATCTTAAATTAATGCATAAAACTACGAAAACAATTTCGTAGTCACCCGTTTATACTTAAGTGCCAAAACGGGTTATTTCCTTTCTGTTGAGCGCGGTATTAGCAGGCCTTCATGCGTGCAACCGCGTTGGTGATTTGCAAACATGCCTTTGGTGTCAAGTTCAAGTAACCAAATAAATGGTTGTTAATACTCAAGATATTAAGTTAAGGATGTGCGGTTGTGATGGTCAGAATTTTGTGCAACGAAATACAAGTTTACTTCAGTTAAGTTTCCATCCAATATCAAATGTAGAAAAGGTATAATCGGTTTTGTTTTCCCATTGTGCTTCACGCGGTAATTGTACGCTATGATATCGGATAAAATACATCTTATTACGGAACTATGCAGAGTTGTGAAGAAATAAACAGAACGTAATTAGCACAAACCATAGACGGTTTCTAACCCCATAATTACGTGCAGACAAGTTTTGGGCTGAAGAGTACTTGCTTTATCGTGGCCAAACAGTAAACAAAATCATTTATGAGATCTTTGGCGGCATCTGAACAAAGGTGTATGCTTTAGTTATTTCCGATTCCTTAGGGAACCCCATTTTCTTCCGCTTCCTAGCAACCTAGTACCAAGTAGGTAATTCCGTCAATGTGCATAATAGCTTGATCTACATTGATTAAAACGACAACGAAGCCGTCCATTTGTCATCCATTATGAGCAGCAAATGGTATGCCTGTCTACAATCCGTGTTCTCTAAACCGCACAGTTTCTGACATATTCAAGCTACCCGATATACTTGCGTCAAACGCTAAACACATCCTATTCATGTCGTTGGTTCGCGAAGATGACAATAGGTGGCAGTATGAAACGCTTTTAATTTCCTTCGGTTTCCACCGCACGCTAGCTCCTACCACGAGTACCCGACACGTGCAACTGGCAATCCATAATACAAATAAATAATTGTATGCTGGTTTAACGATAGGTTGAGCCGATGGTGGGTATACGTTAGTATTTTACAATGCATTTTATCATACTTGTGTAAATATACTACTGAAGATTGAATACCGTATCATCGAGCAACCATAAATGAATTCTCTACAACTCTTGTGAAATATGGAGAAAATCGTTATAAATATTGTCAGCCGTGAATATCATAATCGTTCTCATGTAAGATTTAAAAAAGCTGACTCACGGTATTGCAGGACTCATAAATGTGACATGTCACCGTAAGTGTGCGATGGTTCTCTGAATCGAATAGTGGTAAAATATAAATCTAACAACGTTTTGAACTTGCTGCACAGATGTTGCCTTCATCACATGTTCAGGCAAACTCTTCCAAATATTTCCCACTCTGTTTGACGCCCATTGAGTGGAGAACAGGTTTCACATCCGGCACGACAACTTTGTGTCTGTGTCCGCATATGCTGCATGGCCCTCGTAAGTGCAGCATTGGCCTCAGCATGAGGAAGTCACCGAGGTTTAGAATAAGGTAGGTCCTAATGTGGTAGACTCGCACCTGCCGGTAGGACAAGGTGTAGAGTCCTAGTTTCTTACATCCTTCATCGAACTTATAAAATGTTAATTTAGACCCGTTAGCCCAATCTCCCTTCATCTTATGCTTACATATGAATAACAACTACAAGCTGAACTGCACCGATTTCTTTAATAAATCGGTAAAAATTGCAGTATTACCGATGCCTAGTGATTGTTTAAATATTTATCTAATTTGGTCACTATAGTTATATAGTTTTCTAAGGTGCTTCACCGCGCAAGCCAAACGTGACGAAATGCTCATGTTAAAATTATCATACATCTAAACTTGTTTTATGCTAGCCTTTCCTTGGTGTGCATAGGGGTTAAAACCTGTTTTGTGTATGTGGGGATAATTTTCCATATTATATAAAGCTAAATATTTTGAGTAATCATGTACGTAATGCAATAATAGATTTCTTCTCTCACATAATTTTTCGAATTTAATTTTTTACAGTCCCCAGCCTTGGTAATGGTTCATCAAGAGAAATGGCAATGGCATGGCACAATATTGGCTATTCTCACTATCGCATTGATTTCCGGAGTGATTGTACTGGCTGCGTTATTCTTTACTTCATGTAAGTACTTCTAGAACTGCAGCGTATATTTCACACATATTTAAACTTTAAAAATACGCATGTCCTAGGTCCAGTATGTTGTTTTAATAAGCGCAAGTGTTTCAACAACCAAAAACGCATCACACACAACCAACATCAGTAAACTAATTTTTATTTGCTTAGTTTCCGATCTTTTGGGTGAAAGCTTATTATATGACTGTACAATATGTACACAGTGGGTTCATTGTTTTTTTATCAGCAGTCGGTTTAAAACAGTCGATATGCACTATAAATTGATTTTTAATGATAACGTTCTGGTGTATCAACCCATGGGTAAACGGGGTATAAATAGTTTTAATGGAAAATGACCAGTTTGTAGGCCTAAATTAGACAAAGACTGGCTTACTGAACTTTACAATTTTGGTGTTTATGGAACAATAGAAATGTCTACTGGCAATTTATATTTTAACTCCCTAAAGTTGTATTGCCATACTAGGCAATGCGAATCCACTCCTATCAGAAATCCCCTTCCAAGTAGATAATGCCGATTATATTTGCGAAGAGCACAAGGTTATCTTTTCTCTGGTAGTGACAAATCAGGATTATTTATTAGTGCTAATTGCTAGCGTGCATACTCCGCGCTCCGCAAGCACATCATGGTTACATGTTGTATATTGCAAGAAAGAAAATTCCCATGGTCAGCTTAGGATTCCAAGATAATGTGAGTGCATTAGCGTGTCGTTCATGTAAATGATGTCAGATTAAAAAGTCATAGTTTTGCAGCTGATCTTAACAGCGGGAGAATTATGGACACTGGCAGACAGCATATGTAAATGATACTGACATTGCACTACCAGAAGTGAAATGCGACTATTGGGTTCATCACCATTCAGAATAAGCATTTTCTTCTTGGATGGATGTTACGGATTGTTCACCAGTCACTTCGATAGCTACAACACTTCAGGGATTCTGAAGAATTAACTACGTGCTAACTTTCGGTCCTTCGCTTAGCGTATCGGGCCGCATTATCGCGGAATGTATGCTGTATATATATATATATATATATTAAATATCATTTAATTTCACAACTGTATCTGTTAGATAAAATATATTAGAAAGACTACAGAAATGAAGGAGTTTTAAGTAACTTATTGCACCATTCTAAGCTCAGGTTGCATGGTCCTCAAACATGTGGAATAGTGAAGTCTACAATATGATTTTGTCGCTTTTAAAGTTCCAGCAATTTTAGGACATTATAGCGTAGTATACCAGATTGCGCCTCCAACGGTCACATGAACAAAGCCACAAAGCTCAGGCAAAGAATTGGGCAGATCCACTGCATTTGCTTGTGCAAATTTTGCTAGGGTGCTGTTTATTCGTAATTCCAAAGTGTTATTAACTAGACAAAACACAGCATTTACACTAGTGATAGCAGGAGAAGATCTACAAATCCCATGCAGTCATCACAAGATGAAATCCCTGTGATGATAAATGTGCTTATCACATTATGACAAACGCAACGCATGTTGTCTTGACCGGTAAACCTATGACTCAAATCAAAGACTCTGTTATAATTGGGAATTTGGCGGATCATCCTACGTCTTTATCTTCTAAATTTTATGACATTTCACTACAGATTAAAATTAGAATTACACTGCCACCTCAAATAAAATGCTTCTAAATATATGCAGTTCCAGTGAACCAAATGGATGCGAAACAGTAGTGGACGCTTCAGTATCACACTTGAATGTAATCAAACTAGGATGGAAAATTCCAGCGGACACTTGTCTGATCATTAACATCGGTAATATCATCCTTTTTATGATGCACCGTACCTGCCAGCATGCTTCCAAGTTGGGCCGAATGATCAACGTTTATGTGCACTTGAATAAATAGCCACCCACTGAGAAGCCAGAATGCAGCATAAGCACCGCTATCTGCAAGCACAGAGAGCAATCGATTAAACCACATTTTCAGCTACATTTCAGCATTATTATATCGCAACCTAGGAGGATACAGTTACTTCGGGTGAAGGTTACTCAGAAAGCATTTAGCGTAAAACGACTGTGTAGCCAGCATGTCGTATATTTTTTTAATTGTTCCACCGCATACACCGTTAGTTTCTACAGGTAGAGCGTGCTTAATATGCAATTGTGGGAAGAAAGAACAAACACGTATGAGACATTTATGGACGTGGAATACAAAGAACCCAATTGATCTGTATTATCAATAAATTGTGGCTGACTGGCTCCTTAACGGATCAGTGAAGGAAATTATGATTGGCTAACATGATCATATGCAGGGAGAAAATGTTGACTTTTTTCCTTATACTCTCCGCTACACACACTATACACATTAGCTTGAGGTGGGAAACAGCTGCTGTGACGCAATTCTCTCTACTAGGCATACAAAAAGGAATTTGTTTCATTTATATAAAGTCCCCTCAGCCAATATCCTCTAAACAAAAACCGCTGCCATCAATCACCTAGAAGCTGTTATTTACAAACATTATGGGTTTATTGATCGTGTTGTGCCCAGGCTGCTTACATGCGACCTTGACCCAAAGTTACACTTAGGGGCGTTAGAACGAGGCAAGATTGAGGATATTTGGGGACGTATTGCACACGGATTTGGAAAGTTGGAGCGTGGTGCTTCCTAGTTAGCTTCACCTTCAGGCTGCGACAAAGACGGTGATCAGACAAAGGGTAAAATAAGCTGACAATTCACATGTGATACAATTATTGATGAATAATAATGACATTAAAAGTGCTGTTACTTACCGGTAAATCCCACGGCCAACTGCTAGATGTGAGTCTGCTTCCTACATCAAAACCATTGTATGCCGAGACTGTTTACTGTATTTCTCAAATATTTTAGACATAAATTTTAGTATAAATTAACATGAGCCTAATAATACTCACTATATTTTACATGAATTGTGTAGGTAGCTGCACAGCTCAATATGTTCAAAAGTAACTATGCTCTTGTGTGGCTTGTATGCATGTGTGCGATATTGGGGGATGAGATTCGCCTATTGGCATTCTGATGGTCGGCTGAGGTGAGTCAAGGAATCCAGCGTGGGTATTTAGGTACGGTTGTGACTCTTGGATTATTCCATTGAAGATTTTCCCAAGTACATCTAAAAAGTACAGTATCCTGCCCAAGGTAACTTGAGAGCCTGTTGGTAAATGTTGCCAAACTCTCAAGTAACCTAAATGTGTGTTTGGCAATTTATTCCACAAATAGTTACATGTGACGAGGGAGAAGTATGTGCGACGGCTTATTCTCACCTTTGGTATAAATTTTGTATAATCTTTTGCAGAGCTGTCGATTTTGGCTATGTTGCACTTTTTGTATAGTTAAATAATAATAGGTTCTTTTATATAAGAGGTTGAAAAAATCATCAGTTTATGTTTCAATCGTCCCATCCAAATAGCTTGTTTCAACGCTTCTGATAATTCATAAAAGGGTGCTTACTAAGCAGATGTTTAGTAAACGACCTCTACAAGTGTTCCAGAACAATTCTGTCGCATTTTCTGTTATAACCACATACTGAGGTACACTACTTAAGGGTAGGGCGGTTGAGTAGCTTAAATTCTCGCATGGGCTGCGTGCATTAGGTTGCATACATAAAACACTAAATTTTGGATCTGCTACATAATCTTAGATCTGTTCGGAGGAGTGAAAAATTTGACAGGTACCTACTAATTAGATCGCCCGTGCAGATATGTCCTTTGAGTAATTAAGGTATTTATTGAGTTTTAAGTAGAATCATCTCTCCTGGACATCGGGATGTATCGCTTGCTCGTATGTGTATGGTCATGCTTATGAATTCAGAAGGATGCGGCGGCTGCGCGATACTAACTCGTCCCATTAGGACGAAACGGTCATCTGGTAAAATAATGAACCTGTCGTGGCTTTCTTCCAGAGCTTAACTGCGGTGAATCTTCTCTAAATATATGTTCCCTGTTCAGTGCAAAAAATAGTCAGTGGAACATCTGTATTATATCATACTCACTTATTTAGCTGAGAGATTCGACGTACATGTGTGGCCCCCTACCTAAGGACAAGGAAATTTTTCTTGAGTAAGCTGAAGCGTACCTTAGTGTTTGTCACGCTAAAGGTTATGGACGATCTTGATATCCTCGGCGAACAAAATGGTTGATCAGATTTACAAATGTGGTGATGTTACTACGGTAAAGCATGAAATGTAAAGGATTAAGAAGACTCACTTAGGTCACCCCGCTCTTGATGGGTTTTGAAGAAGAGCGATAGTTACCTACAGAAAATGGCTGGCCAAAAGAGGTGAAGATATAAAAGAGACCAGAAGTAAAAGTAAGCTTGAAGCACATCGTTCATCTATTGAATACATGTTCGCTGAGCTCGGCATTTTTCTGTAGTAAACTTCGTCACCAGTCGTGGTGACGTCAGCAGCGTGTTAATGAGCAGTAGAGCCTGGTTAGTATGAACCCGGTAGACACACGTATCCGTTTTAGATATCCTCAGCATAAGCCATTTTCCTAGTGAAATTTACAAATAGCCCCATGACCTATGCATTGTGACCATGATCCGTTTGCCTCCTCAGATGATGTTTTATGATGTATTTCTCCGTTAAGGCATTTCGACTGTGGTGATGGTCCTTTACATGTACATTGGCGTAGATCGCGTCTAGGTTAACTGGCAAATGCCTAAATTATTCAACTAATACATGCTTCTAATTATTCTCTTACCTGCTTTGTATTCCCATGTAGAACTTTTCCAATTTTAAAATTTAAATGGAGGTATAATTAAACATTGTTTAGGGATTTCAATGAATAAGGAGCATATTAGATGGAAATCGGGTATTGCCTATCCGAAAACACTGAACAGCCACGACGCGTTTCGATGTAATTTCATCTCATCAGGTGGAGACTGCAGGATTTGAACCCACGACCATTGGAATAGCAGCCCACACTACTACCCCTTTGGCTACCGGGTCACGATGAGCAACGCGTTTTGTCACAACGGTAGATGACTAGTTG